GGCGGTGGCGCAGGCGGTACCCCCCACCGCAGGGGTCCTGGCAGGGTCCCCAGGGACCCCAAGGGCTCCAGAGGCAGAGATCTACGGGAAAGGGGTGTCACCCACCTCCGTCCCCGCACCCCCAGCCCTCTGCAGCCCCCCTCCTGCCCCCCGGTACCTTGGCAGAGGTGGGGGTCTGGGCAGAGACGCTGCTGCCGCAGCTCAGCCAAGCAGGTGGCCCCATCGCCGGCCCAGGGCAGCCCAGTTTGGGGGTCCAGGCAGGTTCTGTAGCGATGCTGCACCGCGGCCAGGGCCGGGACCCCCACTGCTGTCCCCTCCGCCGGGGTCCCCTCCAGCGGGGTCCCCTCTGTTGGCCACAACTGGCCCAGCTGGGCCAGGGTGCCAGGCTCCAGGGCAGCCAGGGGCAGGCAGGGGCCACAGGGCGTCCACTCCGACCAGGGGGTCAGCGGCAGCAGCCCTGGGGGGGACCCCACTGTCCTGTCCCACCATCCCACCAAACCACCCTCCCACCATCTCATCCCACCATCCCATGGTCCCACCATCCCATGGTCCCACCACCCGTCCCACCGCGGCGTTGCCCACCGTGGCAGGGCTGTGTGTTGCACTCGGCTGTCTCCTCGGTGCCGGTGTCCCCGCAGGGCTCCCCCCCAGTGCTCTCCTGGCACTCGCGGTGCCGGGTGGTGTTCCCACCACCGCAGCTTCGGGAGCACGGACCCCAGGGTGACCAGGACCCATAGGAGGAACACGTCGAGGCCGGGCAGGACAAGGTCCCGTTCCTGCAGGTGCTGCATCGGGGGGACACCGGCATCACCACCCCACGCAGGGGCTCCACCACCATGTGCCCCCACCACAGGACCCCCTGGTTGTGGCACCCACCAGTTGTGGCACCCCAGTTTGGTGACCTGCCCCGACCACAGCTCCCGGCTGCCGTTGGCCATGGGCAACCCACAGCGGCATTCGGCCACGGCCACGCACGCCCCGTCCTGCAGCAGCTGCCCCGGGGGGCACCGGCACCCTGTGGGGGGCAGAGAGAGCGGGGACGCACCCGTGGGTGCTGCGGGTGGTCGGGGTCTGCACTCACCCTGGCAGCCCTCGCTGCTGCACTGCAGGGTCCCGTTCTGGCACACGCTGGGAGGAGACAAGGAGGTGAGCACCCACCAACCCCCGCCCCACAGCCCCCACCTCACGTGTGGGGCTGCCCCCCAACCCCTGCTCACCACTCCTTGCAGCCCAGGAGGACGGTGTCGCCAGCAGCCAGGGTCTGGGGGTCCCCCTGCCCCCCGGGGTGCAGGCAGTCGCACTGGGTGGGGGGCACACAGCCCCCAGCCTGCTCCAGCAGCCCCTGCCGGGATGGGGGGGGGGGTAACAGGGGGGGAGGTGCTGGGCACCCCCCCACCCCCCCCCACCCCCCTTGGGTGCCAGCTGGGCACC